CCCCGCCCTCGGCCCCCGCCCGCGACCCCGTTGACTTCAGTTCACCCTGTCACTCTCGTGTCTCTCCCACCCACCCGGTGGCTCGTTTACAGCATTCCTGCATCCAGCAGTTCGTCCCGTCTGAACACGACCACAACTACCTGCTCGCTCGAGTGCCACACCTCTTCCTCGTCCCGACTCCACGCATCCTCGTCTATCTAACATTCGTCTCCTTCTCACAGATGCTGCAATTCATCGCCAAGGCTCCAGCTCACAAGTGGAATCTCTCATCCCTTCAGTTGCATCTACCTCCGCGCTCACTCCTTCGTACCGCGTATACACGGATCCCCAGCTCCATCCCGTCAAACTGTGCCCCGCCTTGGTACGCCCCTCTCCCCGCCCCTCGACGCAAACCTCTGCAAAAACTACTGATGTATTCAAACAATTCTACGTGACGATATTTGAAAATGTCTTTGAAGAACACATTTATTATTTCAAAGAAAACTCCATACCTTGAATATTGTAATTGTACGAAGACCCCGAAAAAAGTTTAATTTCTTCGAATTAAAAAAAATAGATCAATGAAAATAGGACCTGCACTATTCATTTAAGCGTCGTTTGCTCTATCCGAAGACAAAGTAGAATCAAACGATAGTTGTGCTGCAGCAACAGGATAGCACATACTTTCTTGTAATAATTCTAAATTTGCGATTACGGAATATTTAGAGGATACAACGAAAATGAGACTTGCTCTATACTTTTAAGCGTTTCTTGGTATACCCATAGAAACAAATTGAAGAAAAAAATGATTCGCCTTAACAAAATGTTTTTTTATAATTTGCATTGAATGAAAAGAGTAATTGCCCTATAACTATTGGTTTGCTTCAAAAAAAATGAACGGGAACTTTTTTAATTAGCTGATTTTGGGGAATATTTTTTTTGCCATAAAGAAAATCATGGTTGAAATTTATCTTCTAGGAATGTCATCTTGCAATTTTCGAAAATAGAGAGTTCCCCGGAAACTGAAGTAGCGCCAACTGTTCCCGTTATTTGATACATATGAGGGAAACATTTGAAGAAAAAATTTGGAAGCGTTTTGTGAAAATAATTCTTTGAATATCGCTTATATTTCGCTCAAAATTATGCAAATCTTACTTATTTTCAAAAAGTTGTACATGACGTTTTAAGATCTGTTTAAAGAATTTCAATAAGCAAAATCTGTATCTTCAATATTGTAGTTGTAGGGAAATACCGAAAAAGATTTTGAACTTTTACAATTAAAAACAACAGGCAGTGTCATTTACGCTATCCAATGATTAAGTTAAATTCAAATATTTTGAGGCATTTTGAGAACATTTGGAAAATATTAACGCTTTATGTAAAGTACCCAAATATTTGTTTCAAATTCAGATGGCCACGTCCTTTAAATTCATCGTGGTATATCAAGTTTGGAGAGAATCTGCCGAACCGTTTTGGCGCTGGCTTTGACCAATGGCGGCCGATCGGATGTTTTACTGTCAAGTGATATTTCCGTATCGAGGGCTCTCCAACATGGATTCCGACTTCATCACGTCTTTTCCCGGTGCCATTTCGAAGGCATCATAAAATTAACCCATGATGCTGTTATGCCAGAGAACACAACCATGATTTCAGTTCACTGAAATACACGACTTTAATAGAAGTATTTTTACAGAGGAAGACTTTTTCTGCTCCTCAGTTCCAAATCATCTCCTTTGGGATAACTATGAAGACGTCGACGTAACTAAGAAGAAGTCGAATTTTAACGAGGGAATTCGATTCCAGCAACAAAATTACTGGACAAAATATGAAAAGGCAAAAAAGAATCTTTTGTCAGAAATTTTTTGTAAACGAAAAAATAACAGTTTTTACTTCGTGTAGGAAAATGTAGTATGCCGAAAAAAAAACAAACAAGAATCCGAAGCTCCGAAGACGAGGAAGAGTGTTTGCTTCGATTGCTGAGAAATTTTACAAACATGAAAGGTTGGAAAGAGGATAGGGATACATATGCAAAAAATGAAATCCTGTAAAGAACTTTCAAAATGCAGCTATTACGTTTGTATTGATTGGCATTCGTAATATCTGAATATAACAATATTCTAGTTCGTTTTGTGTGTCTCAATTTGTCCCAATCTAGATACATTTTACCCGTCGAGGGGCAGGTTGTGACAAACTGCAATGTTGCATAAAATAATTTATGTGACATTAAACACTTGATATATTTTAAATGCAAGTATATGGAATGTTCTATAAAATCATTCTACTTGCGTCTTTTATTGTACATTTCAAATTATGACCACATATCTAAAAGTTAAAGAACTAAAAATCTCACAACTAACCTGGATATCAAATATCGCATTTCTTGCCTGTTAACTTTACCTATTCTTGTCTCCACCTTTACTTGTTGATTTTTTCATATTTTAAAAACGTGGTACCTGGATTAGTGTATTTGTTAAAATTGCATTCGTTCTTCTGATTGACAATATAGTGATCTCCATACCCTAAGGTGTTTAAATAATTTTCGGACATGCAATTTCTTGCATTTTCTTCTAACCAGAGGAAGTAAGTACGTCATCAATATATATATATAT